ACTTCAGCTCATGGATTTGGGAAGAGGGTTTTTATTGGGCAGTGTTACAAGTCAAGTCCCCCAGTGTTTGGGGATGTGACCATGTTTGGAGATGGTTTTTAAGGAGGTGGTGATGAAAATCGGCCATATAGAATCTAGTATAGATGGTGTCATTATATGGAAAATTAAGACAGTGACACACAGACAGGATGTGAGAACACAGGGCACAGTAGTCAGTAAAGCTAAGGAGAGGCATCAGAGAAGCCAGCCTTGCTCACTTCTTGGTCTCAGCCCTTGATTTGTGGTACTTTGTTATGGCAGCACCAGAAATTGTATAGAAGGCAGTAATTTTGCCTGAGTGGTAGTTCTTCTTGGGAGAATGGTTGGAACAGAGACTTAGCCATACAGAACCATGAGTGACCTCCATGGACTCTGCTGTGACTTCAGCCATCACACTTCATGGTGGTGTTCGTTAATTGTCTCCCTGTGTCTAGGGAAGCAGGTTACTATATAAAATTGACAGAATCATTAGTGTGAAATTTGTCATTGTCCCCCGTCTATTGTAAGCACTCAATAAAAGGCACTTATGTTCAGGATGAGAGGAGATATCAAAGGAAAGTTTGATAGGTTGCAAAATTATGCACATTGATTATCCTTCTTTAATAACATTTGCTTATCCACAGGCTGGGGAGACAAATGGGCTCATTGCAGACTTAAAAACATGTCTTGCTGACATTGCAAGGCTCTGGGAATAAGGATCTCTTTGAACGGGAAAAGTAGCTAAAGGGTGTGGAACAGACACTTTTTGTTCTGTGAAACACAAGACAGAAGGGAATCTCAGTTTGAGTTCTCCTTCTGTTTTCTTTTTTGGGGTGTGTGGGGGGTGAGGGGGGAGAGCAAGGCAAGAGAGTGCTGTTTGTGGTGGAACGACATTCCTTTAAGTCGGGGATCATTTAATCACTTGGTCTTGTCTGGGTGGGTATAAAGCAGTGCCACAGAGGAGAAAGGACCCAGGCCTGCCCTCTTGCCTGCCCCTCCTTGGTGTACTGCTGGTACACCGCTGGAAGAGGGGAAGATCATTTTGGATTGTTGATATTTGCTCTCTGTTAAAAGTAGTGTGCTTGTTTCTCTTCAATTAGGAGGAAGGCACTAGTTTTAGGAGACACAGTTTGTTTTTAGTTGGAAGCCATGAAGGCCACGAGGCACAAATCCCCAAACAATAGCTTTCTACTACAGTGTGGGAACAGCAGAGGGTTTTTTGTGAGCCACATTTGAAAAGCTCAGCACAGCATACCCTGGGCGGGTGGGGTAAGAGCACACACTTTGGGGGTGTGTTTGTTTGCCGCCAAGTGACTTTGAAATCTTGTAAGCTGTGCAAATTGAGCTTGTGCTGGATCTGAGTCATGCCAGCTTAGCTTGTGTTTGGGAATCCGATCAACAAAACAGCTGCCCTCTACTTGTCTTTGTACAGCAGGGTCCACACAATGCTGTAATTGTTGCTGGAATTCAGGAATGAAACTGCAACCCCCAGCATGCCTCTGGAGGCCAAAGCACTGGAAAAGGAAATATCCCACCGGTAGCCTGAGTTCCCTGTAAATATGAAAGATTGAATAAAACAATATCACGAATCATGCATATTTTCTTTATCCATGCTTCCTCTAAGAGATGAGGTTTAATCTTTGAGGGATTTGGTATGTGTTGAATTCTTTTTGTGAAGACAAGTTTTTGGAATAAAAAGGGGAAAAAAAATCTCTCCTTTCCAGTCCCCTTTCTGGAAATGTCCTTGATTTTCAAGTTTGTCTCTGTTGTGGATTTATAAAACTCAGCTTAGGAGCTGAAAGCCCAGAGAATAACTTGGTTCAGGGTCATTTTGCCTCTTTGTACAGAAAGAAAGGAGGAAGGTGACCTGGGTACCTCTGTTTCAAGGTGGATTGTCCTGGAGCAAAGGGGGGCACAAACATGTTACTGGGTCCCGCCCGCCCATAAGGTGCCCAGACTCAGTAGGTCTGGGGTGCCAGAGAAGATATGTTTCTGAACAATAGGCCAAACAGGTTTTTGTTTGTTTGTTTTTCGAGACAGGGTTTTTCTGTATTGCTTTGGAGCCTGCCCTGGAACTCGCTCTGTAGACCAGGCTGGCCTCAAATTCACAGAGATCTGCCTGCCTCTGCCTCTTGAGTGCTGAGATTAGAGGTGTGATGTGCCACCACTGCCCAGCTAAAGGTACGTTTCTAATGGGTTTCCAGGCACTGCTAGTATCACTGTTTTGAGGGCTATGCTCCAAACTTTCTTACTGTATTCTCTGAATCATCTCATGTACAAATGCTCCACAGTTCCTGGTCAAACAGAAAGGATACAGCAGATTTCCCTGTGGCCACTCTCCTGAATGTACCCTCCTCCTGTGGCTATCGGCTGGTCACTGGGCTGAGAGGAAAGAATGAACGATAAATACACACACACACAGACACACTTAACTTTTCAATTTTTTTTTTTTTTTTTTTTTTTTTTTTTTAGATCAAGTCTCCCTGTTCCCTCTGAGGCTGTCCTGGTACTAGCAATCCTCCTGCCTCAGCCGCCGCTCTGCTGGGATTACTTCACCAGATTCTCATTCTGTTCTGTGTGCAGGCTTGCCAGTTGTTTGTTCAGCCTAGATTGGAGGATAGGATCAAAGCTTGCATAGCAGGCTCCCAAGTCCTTTTCTCTGGGTCTTCTAAGGTTGTAAGTAAAGGTGGAGTCTAGTGGGAACAGGGGTGTGGGGGGGGGGGGGGGGGGGTTTTTTTAAAAAAAAATTTTTGGGGGGGGTTTTTTTTTTTGGGGGGGCGAAAGTTTTTTTTTTTTTGATTGGGAAAAAAAAGTGCGCCCCACTGGATCTGATGCCTCCTCCTTCTTCCTCTCCCCCCACCCTTTCCTTCTCCTGTAGTAGCAGCTCCCCCCCCCCCCCCCCCCATCGAGTCTTGGAAAAGTGCTAATGAAATCTGGTGGTTTTATTCTTCCTTTTTTGTCTTATTGCTTTCTAAAAGTGCCTTGATATGCATGCTCATCCTTAGTCCTCGGTCCTTTGAAGGGCTTACATGGCTTTTCTAGCTTGTGATAACGGTTGAAGTACTCAGCATGTTTGCAATTAGATTTACCTTAAGTTTAAAATGTAAAGATACATGCTTTTTTTTTTTTAAATCAGCTGATCTTTCTCACATATTTTGAGGAATATATTTTTTCTTCTTTCCCTTCCTTCGCTGGTTTGCATAAATAGCCCAGGATGTCTTTGAACTCATACATGTAACCAGGGATGATGACCTTGAATTTCTGATCTTCCTGTCTTGGCTTCCTGAGTGCTGAGATTATAGGCATGCACCACCATACATACCTTGTTTCTAATGTCTTAGGTAAAATCCTCCTCTCATCTTCTGTCTTTTTTTCCTCTTCTTCCTTTCTGTCTTACTTTCCCCTTATTGTTCATGCTGGAGATCGAGTCCAGGATCTCACACATGTAAGACGATTGCCTTACCGATAAGGTATGCCCACGGCCCTTACAGATGTGTCTTCAGTGATAGATCAGAGGGACTTGTTTCCAAAGGAATGTGGTGTCTGTCATTAAAGTTAGCCAGACAGAAGAATAGAGCCACGTTCCTGAGTCAATATACCCTGCTGTGGCTATAGACTGGATGCTGGGCTGAGAGGAAAGAATGTTTGATAAATACACACGCGCGCGTGCACACACACACACACACACAGAATGTGGTTGACACTGGCGGTTTAATGTGGGCTGTGTCTCTTGTGATCCTCAGTGTCATGCCTTGAACTTGAAGACTGTTTTCTTATTTGGTGCTGATTTAAGATAGGAAAACTGGGATCAGAAAACATCTGATGGCCACTTTGGCAAAATCTTGGAATTTTAAGTTTAAAAAAAAAAAAGAAAAGAAAAGAAAGAAAAGAAAGAAAGAAAAAGAAAAAAAACATTATCAGTTAACTATTCTTGGTGTTGTTACTAATGCCTGCCAAGCAATAGCTTAGGGAAGAGGTCTTATGCTGGCTCAGGGTGTTCAGGGATCTAATCCACCATGGAAAAATCCATAGTCAGGAATCTGAGGGCAGATAGGAAGTAGGGCTTCCCCTCCCATGACGTACTTCCTCCAGTGAGGCTTCACCTACTAATGATATAGCAACCTTCAAGAAACTAGATAGCATCAGCATCTATGGACTCAAAAGTTCCATCACATCAGCCTGTAGGAGGTGTGCTGTATTTAAATCACAGCACAAGGACATGCCAGACATATACTCTTCCCTTTAGGGAAGTGCTGAAGGCCTGGAAAGCAGACCCAGTCAACAGACTTCCCAGATCCTTAGAGCATGGTTCCCAATCTGTGGGTCACGAACCCTGTGCAGTCCTATTCAGATATCCTGCATATCAGATATTTGCATTATGATTCACAACAGTAGCAACATTGAAGTTACGAAGTAGCAACAAAAACAATGTAATGGTTGGGGGTCACCACAATGTGGGGAACTGTATTAAAGGGTCACAGCATCAGGAGGGTTGAGAACCACTGCCTCGGAAGGAGAGCATTTGGAGGTTTGAAGGGGCTGGAGAAGGGACTCTGGGGTTTATTATTTCTTTATCTTATCTTATTTTATTTTTGTGTGTATGAGTGTTTTGCCTGCATGTATGTCTATATACCGCATGCATGTGTAACGCCCAAGGAAGACAAAAGAGGGTATCAGACCCTTGGAAATGGAGTTTTAGATGGTTAAGAGCTGCTCTGTGTGTGCTGGGAATTGAACGAGTATTGTTAACCTCCAAGCCATTGTCCCAGCCCTGGGTTTATTACACCATGCGAAGGCACGATTCTCCTTCTCCTTCTGTTGCTCATCCCTTCTCCAAACACTCAGTGAGGTGGTAAAAAAAAAAAAAAAAAAAAAAAAAAAAAAAATCTAAGTTTCAGAGGCATCTGGGTATAGACACCTGAAAACCCAAAACCTATTTATATAGGCAAAACACTGAAAACACCTATTCTCTGTCTCCACAGGTTAACTTTGTGGCTTGCCAGCTCTTTGCCTTGTCTGCTGCTTTCTGGTTTAGAATTTACTTACATCCCGGCAAAGCTAGCCCTGAGGTCCGTCATGCATTGGCCACCATTTTGGGCATTTATTTTGTTGTGTTTTGTTTTGGCTGGTGAGTATGAACCACATAAATTCTAATGTTTATCACTTAGATGTTTTGTGATGATATTCTTGGTAAGAAATATATGGCATTGTAAAACACCTAGACCTCTACAGACTTCCTTGAGTCATATAGACAGAATGCTATAAGATTTAATTCTTCCCAAGAGGGGACTCCTCCCTAGTCCTTGTGGATGTTGGTGTGTTTCTTGTCTTGTTGTTGGAGACATAGTGTTACTCCAAAGACTTGAGTGCAGGGATTAGGGTCGAGTCATTCTCTAACAGATAGGGAGTTCACCTTAGTACAGCACCTCCTAACACACAAAGATGTCAAATACCTAGGGAGTGGCACTTCTTAGGGTTCACGTGATAGAGACTGGTTTCTGGAAGTGTTTCTTCAAGGAAATTGTGAGTTTGGTGAAGGTACCAGGATACCGCTCTATGGCCACAAACCTTTGGTAAAGGACACAGATTTTGAATCAGCCACTGTGTTAAAACAACAAGAGCAACAATAACGAAGATCCCTAACATATGGGGAAGTGGGATTTTGGTATTGGTACTGTGAAACTTAGAAAAATAGCTTGGAGACTTAAAAACATGAAGTCCACCCAAAAGAATTCCTTTTGGGCTTTCAATGTAATATGGATGTAAACATCCTCATCTACTCACTGACAGATTCCAGACGTTCGATGCCCAGGCTTTCCAGTGTCTTTTCTGAGATACAGTGTTTTGATTCTGTAGAATAACACTTTGACTTATGTTTTCTTATGAGTTAACTTTGGGATGGGTAGGGGTGGGGTATTCAATGGGTAGGTCAGTCTGAATTGTTCTCAGCATCCTCTCTCCCCTTTCCTTGTATCTTAAAGGTATGCTGTACATCTCTTTGTACTGGTGTTGATGTGTTATGGAGTCATGGTCACTGCAGGTGTATCCAATATTCACAGGTAAGATGCTGAGATAGAGCAGTATTCAGGGAGGAAATGTGTTCTGGGGGAAATGTATTTTGCTTATTCCCCATGAGTGATATGTCTGAGCTTCTCCAGGATGTCAGAGAACAGGCAGGATAGGAATCTTCAAAAAAAAAAAAAAAAAAAAAAAAAAAAGGCTTTATGGAAAAAGGATGTAAAGCGGTATTCAGTTGAAAGAAGGTTTATCCATTTATCAGGCAGCCTCAATCTGGGCACAAGTTAGATATTTGCTACATTAGAGTATGATACAACTATAGGAAGGAATAAACTCTGGAGATACAGCATGGCATGTTTGCATCTAAAAATAATTGTGTTGAATGAAGGGAGCCACCTGTATTATGTTTTAGAAAACACAAGCTAATCTATGGTGTGGGGTGGTGCCTAGAGATGGGGCAAGGGTCACGAAAAGAAGAATAGGAAAATGTGCAGGGGTGAGGCAAAGTCCATTCTCAGATTTAGGTACAGTTTTCTGAGCGTTTGCATATATCAAAACTTATTAGTTGTATACTTTGAATATGTCAATGTATATCACACAAGAGAATCACTCAGTGAGAAAGCTAAGTTTTGCTGTGATATTTGCCATCAAGACACAGAGTAGTTTAATTCTTCCTTGAAGTCTGTATGATCACATGATCAGATGATAGACTACTGGAGTGTTTTACAATGTCTGTCTGTCTTTCTTGTGGTCTGTCTGAAAACTCAGTGTTGATTCTGTCTTTGTGGGGGTGGTGATCCACAGGTTGAGAACCACAGAATTAAATGATGAGTAATAATGTTACATTTTATAGCACATTTCCTTTTCTTTTTTCCATTTTGTCACATTGGTGTTTTCTTTTTGTTTCTAAAGATCTTCATGCACTTTTTGGTCATATTCTTTCCCTCCCAGATCATTTCCCCCACCCTCCTTACGTCATATCCTTTCTCTTGAACAAACAAACAAACAAACAAACAAATCAAGAGACAAAACCAACCAAGCAAACAAAACCCTCAAACCCCATGCATTCTATTTTGTGTTAGTCAGCTATTCCTGCCCTGGGTGTGTAGTTGATATGCCCAACATTACTCCTTTGAAGAAGACTAGTTTTCTTTCTCCCTCTTATCAACTAACTGCAAATAACTTCTTGGATAGTAGTAGGACTTCGCCTTGTTACCCGTGATAAAATGTCAGTTCTTCCTCATAATGATTTAACACTGTTGGGGCATATTCTGGTTTTCAGAGGGTCAAAAAGTATATATGTGCCCTTGTTTCATGGCAGGCCTCGGTTTCTAGGTTTCACTCTGGAGTCTGGAAATGGGACATTCCAACCTAGATGGAGGTGGACCATTCACAGACAGACAATGATTTTCACTGTAACAGTTTTGTGGTAGTAGAACACTCTGCCATAAAGATGCCCAAATTTGTTCTTCATCTTTCTATTTGCTTGAATGGTTGCTAGTTTGCAGAAGTAGGGAGTGGGCCACTTCCCGAAGGAAGAACTCCATATAACTTAAACCAAGTTCCAAAGTTCTTTTCATCTCCATTGTTTCAGGGAAAGAACATGAGGCTGAGGCTAGCAAATGTGAAATCCGGACAGGTGGGGTTGCCTCCCTGTGTTTAGCTTTCTCCAACTCCCGTGAGGTGTGGGGTTTGTAATAGTGTGAATGACTTTTTTCTTTTTAATTAAAAATTTCTGAATGACTATGAATAACCCCTCCCATGTGTGCATATGTGTATGTAGATGTATGCACGTGGTACACGCATGCATGCACATGGATGCAAAGACCAGAGTAGAATGTCAGATGTTCTGATGTCCTCCTCTGGTGCTGGACACCTCATTCCTTTTGAGACACTTGTCTCTCACTGAAACTGGGAGTTCACTACTTTTGTCTAGGCTGGCTGTCCAGAAAGCTTCTAGGATCCGTCTGTTTCTCCCACCCTCATACCCCAACTGCCAGGGTTACAGGCAAGAACAGCCATGACCAGCCTTTTACTAAGCAGTTGCTGGGAATTTGAACTCAAGTCTTCATGCTTGCATATCAAGCATTCTTACCCACTGAGCCAGCTTCCCAGTTCCCTTGAATGCAAATTCAGAAGATGATGGTCTCATGATCACATCTAAATTGTTCTCCTTTTCATGTCATGTTGACATCTTGTGGCTCAGAAGAGATATGGAGAGGTAGTGTTTACTGTCTGCAAGGAACCCGTTTCTGGCCTAGCTGTTCCTCAGAATGTTTTGAGAGAGTTCTTAGGGTACCACCTCTGTTTCCATCCCAAGTCACAGGATTAGGCAGGAAGCACACATCAGCTTGCTCTACCAGGACCAGCTGAAGCAGATCTGGTTCATAACTTGCAGGATGGAGGCCTTGTGTGACAACTGGTGATGTAGTTAATTGATTCTAGAGACCTTGCTTTGTGCTATCTCCTAGGCTAAGCTCTTTTTTAATGTATTCTATTATTCTTAATACATAAATGATTAATACATCAGTTGATACTTAATTTCATTATTGCTAACACAGTCTTTCTAAAACAAATGCGTAGGATATAGATTTTCTTTTATTTTTTTTGAGTTGAGGTAATGAATAAATTTTTATAGAGAGAACATACCCAGTCAGGTCAAAAAGAGAACATTACTAACTGTCCTGTTCTAATCCCTGCCATACTCCTCTTTCCAAAAATAGCCACCCTGCCAACTTCTCATACCACAGATTGCTTTTACAAGTGCTGGGGTTTGAGCTCTTATTACTTTGTGTCCACGATATATGTTCTCTGCACCTCACAGGAATTCAGGTCCAGGCAGAACAAGAATGCCATGTTGTGTTAGGATTCAGTATTTATCCCTGTCGTTGGCAGCTGTAGTTTAATTGCAACAACTGGATTGAATCTCTTTACCTTGTCAGCCAGGGAAGAAACAGGTGGGACTATAGTTGACCAGGTTCTAGAAGAATCTATTTTCTGTTAAATCTGCCTTGTACTTCTGCCTTGAGCTGGTGAGCTATCTGGGGAAAGGGCCCGGAAGCCAGAGGCAGCAAGGCTTCCCTCCCCTCCTCCTGCTCTTGCTTCTCAGGGCGTGTGATCTTGGCCATTGGCTTTGTAGACTGTCTTTGTGGTTGGAAGGGATAGAGGATGGATCCAAAGTAAGAGAGGCCTTTTTCGATGGTGTAGGCTGAATATTCTTTATGGAAAGTGTTTTGGAAAGAAGTGTTTCCAGTTTTGAAGGCTTTAAGATTGTGGAATATGAGCGTAGACCACAGTGGCATGAATATTGAATCTGAAACCTTAATATTGGAAATGTTTTGCAATCTGAATCCTTCTAAGGGTTGACATAACCCTCATCCTTTTTGAAAATTGTGGAGTATTTTTCATTTTAGAATATTTCAGATTTTGAATTTTTTTGTTAAGCCTCTTTAATCCTCACTGTTTTCCTTTCTTGTTTTTGGTGATGCTGAGTAGCAAGCTCAGGTCTTTGTGCACAGTAGGCAAATGCCCGGCCATTACCCTTCCGCTGTAACGACGTCCTCCATAACTAAGATAAAAGAGAACCTGATGTTGTATAATGCTTTAGAGAACTCTTTATGCTTTCTACCTGGCTATTGTCCTTACTTTACTACTCCCTGGGCTGACCTAGAATTCATGAGTTATTTTAATGTGAATATGTGAGTCTTAGTACAATTTAATGTCAGAATATTCATCTTCCCTGGTTTATGACATGTTAGAAGTTATAGCTTTTGGATTTATGTCTATATCTGATGGTTTCCTGAGACATATAAAATACTAACTGTATTCATTTCTTCTAATAGTCATAATGTCTCCCTACCCCCAATCTGCATGTCAGGCTAAGGGCTGCAATGCTTAGGGTTCCAGTAAGTTGGGGAAGCAGATGTACAAGTGGATAATTGTAATTTATTAGTGTTCTGTACTAGAAAAATGTAAAGAGCTGAGCAGTGATTTATGCTGGGTTTGGGGGAAAAGGAGTGGCGTAATAGGTAGGATGCTCTAGAGAAGCAAGACCAGTAGAATATGCATATATATCCAAGCATGATGGTATATACTTTTAATCCCAGTGCTTGGAAGGCAGAAACAGAGGCAAGTAGATCTCTGTGAGTTCCTGGCCAACCTAGTTTACATAGAGTGAGGTCCAGGCCATCCTAGTCTATATAGAGGGAGTTCCAGGCCAACCTAGTCTACATAGAGTGAGTTCCAGGCCAACCTAGTCTACACAGAGTGAGTTCCAGGCTAGCCAGTTACAAAGTTACATGGTGGGACCCTGTCTAAACACACACACACACACACACACACACCACAGTGGGACAGAGAGGCAGAGACAGAAATGGAGAGATTGAGACGATGCACAGACACACAGACAGAGACAGAGAGACAGACATGTACATACATGTAATTAAGGGGCTTTATTAGATTGGCTATATATATATGATGGAGGCTGAGTAGTACAGCAATGGCTATCTGCTGGAAAGGCAGAGAACTGTGTAGGAATTTAGACATCTCAGAAGTCATAATGTGACACTAAAGTCTGGAGCTTCTTATATACAGAGCCCACATTGGAAGATTGGAGAAGTTGGAGTCTGATAATAGCTGCACATGCTCAGAAATAAGCAGTTATACCTGGAGAGATGGCTCAGCCATTAAGAGCACTGGCTGCTTTTCCAGAAGGCCCAGGTCAATTCCCAACACCCACATGGTGGCTCACAACTACCTTTAATGCCAGTTACAGAGAATCTGATGCCCCCTTTTGGCCTTTATGGGGACTGCACACTCTTGGTACACAGGCATACATATAGATAAAACACTCCTACATATAAAATGAAGTTAGGAAATCTTTAAAGAAAAAGAAGTAGGTGTATGAATGCTGCTTTCTCCATAGACTTTATATCTATATTCCTGTTGGCATTACCACCCACATTCAGGGCTGATCATTGCCTTCAGTTAATCTTCTCTGGAAATACCATCAGAGATACATCCAAAGGTTTATTTCCTCAGCAAAAAAAAAAATACAGTTAAGCTGACGACCAAGATCAACCATGAGGATGTCTGAACAAGTGATAGCAGAGAGATGGCATAGAGGCCGAGCCTTGCCTGAGAACTGGGCAATTCTCAGATGAACTGTAAGATGGAGGATGGAGTGACAGGCAGAAGGAAGGGCATACACAAAGGCATCTGGTCTGAAAACAAGATGCAGTTGTGGACCATGGGCAGGCCAATGTAATTGAGCATTAAATGGACATGGACCATACCTGAAGATGAGTCTACAGCAGTGGAGGAGAACTTAGAGGGGGCTACCCCTTGCATGCTGTGTTCAGGGGTTTTAATTTGACTTGACAGTGGGTTCATTGAACACTTTAAAGTACTGCTTCCATACTTATTTGTACATTTAACACACAATAGATGAATTTGGCTAACAAACACTAAGGAACATTTGTGCTTTCATGAAATGTACAGTCAAGAAAGGGAGACAGTAGCTTATCAGAGTGTCTTAGTCTTCAGAGGCTGGCAACAAAGTACTCTAGCTAGCTAGATAGGTGGCTTATAAAGACAGAAATTAGTCTGTCATATCTCTGGAGGATGGAAGCCAGACTCTAATCAGCCAGGGCTTCTTGTGAGCATCTATCTTGTTATAGTTCTTTATGGGAAAGCTCTCTGGATATTCCCCTGGTTTTCCCAGATTTGCCTCACATTTCCTATGCACCCGAGGATGACTTTGAACTTACAATCTTCCTGCCTCAACCCCTCATGTGCTGGAATTACAGTTGTGTGCCACCACTATAGACACAGAAGAATCCCTTTTTATAAAGATGCTGATCCCAATCATCAGGGCTCTGTCCTTATGATGTAATCTCCCAAAGGCCTTAGCACCTGATACCATCACACTAAAGGTTAGGGTTTTGACATACACATTTGGGAGCATGTATTCTTTCCATTGCACAGATTATTGTATGTGTTTAAAACTACAAGTTGATAAGAATACGTATATATGTAAATGTTTGTCAGTGTACGCAACACAGGTGTGTATTGCTAGTTCATATCGTGTGTCATCTTTCTGAAAAACATAGAGGAGTTGCTCACGAATAAGTGGTAATTGGATGCCTGATGCATGGGTAGGGAGACTCATGTGCATATGGTAGTGATTGATATGTGTTTGATATATGAAGGTCATCATATAATTGTAATGGTTTGTGCTAAGAATGAGTCTAAGAACGTGCCCACATGTACCCGGTACAGTTAAACCAGAATAACTAGAGGAAGAGCCCAGGGATTTGTTCTTTATAAAGCTGTTCCAGTTGATACCAGGGCTCAGAGGAGTGAGTGAAAAGGGGAGATGGGATGGAATGTTCACAACTTTGTGACCAGTCACTTGCAGAGGGTGAGAGAGGGGACAAGGAGAGTGTTTGTTGAGCAGTTTACTGTCATGCACATTAATCTGGTCCCTGTGATTTGCATTTCAGGTATTCCTTTTTTGTAGCAATGGGCTACCTCACGATATGCCACATCAGCCGAATATACATCTTCCACTATGGGATTCTCACCACAGATTTTTCGGGGTGAGTATTTTCCCAGGAGGGGGACGAGTTGGACTGATTATTTTGACCAGGTCTCTCAGGGTCTATAAACACCAAAGACATTAAGAATCAGCTAAATCACAGTGAGACACTGTGCTGATGAGAAGGTTAAAATTTTAACTTGTTCTGTACAACTGTTAATTCTATACATTGTAAGAAGACTACAGATTACAACCCAGGAACCTCACCCCCTCCCATTTTCTTTAGTCTTATTTGAACACAGTTAGACATGTGATTATGCCATGTCTGTAGCTGCTTTTGTACTATAATGACAGAGTCAAATAGCTATAGCTCGCAGAACTTAATGTATCTACTCAGTTTCCTGTCTTAGGGTCTTTATTGCTGTGATGAAACACCATGACCAAAAGGCGGGCTGGGGAGGAAAGAGTTTATTCGCCTTGGCTTATACTGCCAAATCACTGTTCATCATCAAAAGAAGTCATGACAGGAGCTCAAATAGGGCAGGAACCTGGAGGCAGGTTCCAATGCAGTCCATGAGGGATGCTGTTTACTGGCTTGTTCCCCATGGCTTGCTCGGCCTACATTCTTATAGAACCCAGGACCAGGAGCCCAGGGATGGCACCTATAATGGGCTGGGTCCTCCCCCATCAGTCACTATTAAGAGAATACCCTACAGCTGCCTATTGTAGAGGCATTTTCTTAATTGAGGTTCCCTCCTCTCAGATAACTTTAGCTTGTGTCAAATTTACATGAAATTTTCCAGCACACTTCCTTTATGTATTTCATCTCTTTAAAGAATTTTTAAAAAGTGTGTGTGTGTGTGTGTGTGTGTGTGTGGGCGTGTGCACACGCGTGCGTATGTGTGTGCACACGCATGCTTGTACTTGTGTCTATGTATGTGTATGCAACTTGAACGCAAGTACTGGTGGAAGCCAGAAGAGGACATTGGATTCCTGGAGCTGGAATTATAGATGGATGCCCCCCCCCCACCCGCAGAGAAACTGATCTTGCTTCCTCTGGAAGAGCAGGAAGCATTTTAATGGCTGGATCATCTCTACTGTTCCCTGCATTTCATCTCTTATTAGTTAATAACACATTGTAGCTGATAAACAGATAGTACCCAGATGTCTTTTAGCTTCCTTTGGCTATACTGAACCCATGATTCCACTTCCAGATCCTCTTGACTTCTGTCAACTACAAGGGAGTCTCTGGTATAGCTAGTGACCTGTGACTTGGTGAACCCTGCATCTCCATATTGGCCCTCTGGTACAGGCCTTTGCTAATTCTACATCATGACACTGAGAAAGAAGATAGTGCAGTAGGTAAATAAAGCACTTACCTACAAGCATGAGGGACTGACTTCGATGCCCAGAGCACCAAGTATGGTGGCACATACGTGTGATTCCAGTGCTGGGGATACAGAGACAAGAGGATTCCTGGGCTCACTGGTCAGTTAGCATAGCCTACTTAGAGAGTTCCAGGCTGTAAGAGACCCTGTCTCAAATAACTAGAACAGCAACCGAGGAACAACAGCCAAAGTTATCCTCTGTTCTCCACCAGTGCACAGGAGCCTGCTCTCTCTCTCTCTCTCTCTCTCTCTCTCTCTCTCTCTCTCTGCCCCCTCTCTCTCACACACACAGGCACTCCTACCTCTCTCTATACATACATTCATATTAGTTCAAGCACAGCCTTTTATGACTCTTGTGGAAGGAAGGCAGTATTTCTGGTGACTCTGTGTCATCTGATAGGAATTCCTCAGTATGGATCAGAAGAACCCAACTTCTCTCCTCTAGCTAGATTGCTTCTCATTCAGTGAGTCCTTGGTAAATAGGTCTTGCTCCAAGGTAGGAAATATATAAATCCATATGAATCATGATGAGTGGATATGCCACCATTTATGAGGTATTTAAAAACATTAATTAAAAGATGGCTATTTCATTGATGTTACATAAGGTTAAGAACTAGAACTGAATTAAATGGATGGAATCAAATGGTGCTTGTGCTGTATAAGGGAGGCGATGATGCCTGTGATCAGTAATGGTGACTGACAGTCAAGACACATTGTCAACCTGATTAGATTTTGAGTCACCTAGGAGATTGGGGAAGTACACCTCTTGACATGTCTATGAAGATGTTTCCAGAGAAATAACTGATGGGCTAGAATTTGCTCTGAATCTGCATCAGCTCCTGCCTCCAGCTTCCTGCTCTGTTTGAGTTCTTGTCCTGACTTCTTTTGCTTATGAACAGATATGGAAGTATAAGTCTAATAAACACTTACCTCCCCAACTTGTTTTTGGTCATGGTATTTTGTTGCAGCAATAGAAACTTTAAGTCTGAGCCAAAGACCTAAGAGCTTGCAGTTCAGATGTCTGAAGGGAGAGATGGGCATTCTAACACAGAACTAGAATTTACTTTTGCCTTGCCTGTTTGTCCTATCCAGGCCTACAGTGGACTATAGAATACCTACATCCATGAGGACAGGGATTCTTCATGCCACTGATTCCAAAAGGAGGGCTTATCTGTTGTCTGGGCATCCTTTAGCCCAATCATGTTGTCACATAAAATTAACCATCTCAGGTTACACAGAAGTTGATTATATATACACTTACCTATAAATGTGTGGGCATAGGTGTGTGTGTGTGTGTGTGTGTGTGTGTGTGTATAAATGTAAATAAATAAATATGGTTGTTTGTATATGAAAGGAGAGATAGTAGTTTTTCTAAAACAAGCTTGGGGACTTTGGGAAGCCACTGAAGGAAGTTTAGTTCATTAAAAATAATGGCTGTTGAATTAGTGTGGATGAGGCTGCTGGGAACATTAGAGCACACTGCAAATATCAAGGATTCTTTGCTCAGATTGCTTTGCAAGCACCTTTTTTGTTTGTTTTGTTTTTCCTCCCTTATTTTATGCTAGAGGAAATGACCCTTGAGCTATCAGGTGGAGTTTATGCAAGAGCTGCCATTGTGCAGGGGATCTACACTCTGAGGAAAGGCCTTGCTACTGCATCAAAGCCTCTTTCATTAACTATTCAGCAGGCGTAGACTTCGAACCCTGTGCATAGCAGCCGTGGAGGACACAGACAGGAGTGAGCACAGCTGCAGAATGAATGTGCACCATATTAGATTACCTAGAAAACTCTCATGTGGCCAGTATCGTGTCCAGTTTTGGCTGTCCTTTCCAAACTCATGTCCACTGAGCCTCAGGCTGTGTCCTCATTTCCAAGCAGTGTCTTTGCGGATTTAATTAGTTTTGTTGATTTGACCCTGGGTTAAAATCTGTGCTTTAGATTCAGTCTGACTGGTTTTTGTAGGAAGGTCTGGATGGATAGACCCAAGGCACACCTAGAGGGACGATGGCTATGTGAGGATGGAGGTAGAAATTTGGGTGCAGCCTGAGTCCAGTCATGTTGAAAATTGTTGTCAGAAGTCAGGAAGAAGCATGAGTCAGATTATCCTGATGAACCACCATCATATGCATCCGAGTAGCATTGGACTCTGTTATCTAGGACTGTGAATTTAAAACACAGAATTCTAATTTTCCTGTTGCAAGCCATCTGACATGTGGCGATTTGTTATAGCAGCTTTAAGCACCTTGTACACATTGGTTCATGATTCTTTATCTTTTGATAGGTCAACACACATCTCTCGTTCTTGGCTGTGGGGTTCATGTTTTGAATGTTATTATAGATCTTCCATTTGTTTCATTAATACCATAGAATTTTCTTCTTTCCTCTTTCCTTTGCTTTCTTTCTCCTGCTCCCCACCCCACCCCAGACAGTTTTGCTCATATATTTCAGACTGGTCTCTTTTCTATAGCATAAGCTGGGCTTGAACTCTCAGTTCAGCCTTTCAAATATATGCTGCATTTATTGGTACGTGTCACATTCCTGGCATCTTCTGCATTATTTTTAATATGTTCAAAATCATGGAAAGTTACCTGCATGGAAAGTTCAAGGGCATGTGTTTGCACCACATGGCTGATGCTGTGTTTGCTCCCATTTTCATCACTCTCTGCATTTGGTCAGTTTCCCCAACTGGTGTTTATTTCTTGGCTTTTTTGTTTCTGTTTCCTGTAAGAAATCTCTGGAGGTCACCCACAATACTGCTGAGTGATCAACTTGCAAGTATGTGCTTAGGGAACAGATCCAAAGAAGATGTGCCTGTTGCTTGAAAGTTGTATGTGACAGTTTTCTGATGGATGAGTGGCCATGGTATCCACTATGTGGAGATTTGTTTCTTTTTTACTTTAAAAAAGAGATGGTGGACATAAACCCATCTTCCTGGCTAATGTGAGTCATCATAACTGCAGAGGTACGTGCACCCTGAAGTTGACAAGGGACTTCAATCATGAATTGACAACAATTACAGGGGATCTTCACCAATGCTGATTCTTTAAAAAATTATTATTATTATTATATTTACTTTTTAATTATTAAAATATCTTACGTTTATTTAATCTGTGTATGTGTTCATGGCTTGGCACCCATGTTGGAGTTCAGAGGACAATTTGTGTAAGTCAGTTCTCTTCTTCCACCATGTGAGTTCTGAGGAATGTACTCAGGTTATCAGGCTTGGTGGCAGTCACCTTTACTGGCTGAACCATCTTACTGGCCCCTAGTGCTGGCTCTGACTACAAGCATGAGGCAGCCACAAAGCTTTCTTTTAGAACTGAATTGACTTAACCTTGCTATTTCTTTGAACTGCAATGCAGCGTTTAGGCTTTTGTCAAGAGAAAAATGTTCTTTCAAAATGGAATGTGGTGTCTCACAGCTGCTTGATGTGGGAGTATCTGTCCTTTGAGCACTTGGGCAAATATTAGTGCCTAACACTCTTTATTGCACCTTTAGTGTAAGAGCTCAGGCAGTTCAGTGGGATCCGATGTGATTAGTGTTTGTGTCAGAACATATATGAATGTCTTTAATTTGGGAGAACATAAGCACTTGAACTTTGGGTTGTTCTGGGACTTGAAAATTCATTTATCATTCAAAAATAATCAGGTTTCTGTGGGCTGGCCCAGTATAG